AAAAAATAGCTACATTTGTTGCTAGGTGCTTTTGGAAGAAAAGGTTGCTAGGGTAGTCTGAAACGTTGCTAAATCTAGCAACAAAATTGCTAAATTGGCAACACCGCACCGTGTCCACTGTCACCCCATGGCTTTGACTCATAGTAGGAGGTCCTTAGAACTGACTGGCAAATGATTGGACAAGTAAATGTAAATCCAGAGCCATAGCTCTGTGTAAATCCGGTACAAATGCCCCGCCTCCTATTTTAAAGATGAAAGGAATTTTCCATTCAAACGTTCATTCAAAGTTGCTCGTCGTGGAAGGTTCTAGAATACGGAATCTCATTAAAATATTTGAACGATTGCTGCTCATTTTCTGAGGTAAGTATTTATTTTGGGGAAAAGCGTAAAGTAGATTTATGTTCTAGTACTAATATAGAAGTTAAATAGTAGAAATATAGCAGAAATAGAATTGTTGTGCATCAAGCTCTTCACCGCCCAAACGGTTACCGGTAATATACTCATAAAAATTTTATATATTCGGGGTTGGAGGTATGTTCTTTTAATTGTTTTAATTTATTTAAACCGGTTTTAGTTTGCCGTGAAACGAACCTGCAGTTTAGACCGTTAGGCGAAAACGGGTAACGTTAAGTTAATTCATTTCCGCTTTTCTGACAATGCTGACTGAATTTCCTTAACCGCATTCAAAGGATTGCTTTTGAGAGTTGTTTTATACCGGTACATTTTTTTTCATTGCATTATGAACTCTCGTCAATTCTGTATTGGCTGTATCTTTATCTTTAATGCAACAGCCACAAAAATTTTGGGAATTAGGAACGATATGTGTGAAAATAGTTATAAAATTGCCGAAGAAATAACATGCCGGGACTTAAGCTTGTTTGCAAGTCTGAACTAATGGGCGTTTGTAAGAGGAATGTCACTGAAACATGTCAGGTCTTGAGTTATCTTGCTAAATTCCTGTGAAGCGAATAAGCGGTTTCCAGTTCGTGAATGAATCATTCTTTTGAGTCGACTCTTTATGATGAACACGTTGAGCTGGTTCACGAAACCAGTTTGAAAGATTCGTTCACGAATTCACTTAAACAATCCTTGCAATTAGCGAGTCAACAACTAACATCCTTATTAATAAATTGCATTATATATATATATATATATATATATATTAAAATAGAAAACACTTTATCTTTAATTGCAATTATGTTTGAGAATAGAACTGTTTTTACAGTATTTTTGATCAAATCAATGCAGACTAGGTGACCCCACACTTCTGAACGATGACATATTTGCTACTAATTAATAAACTAAACGTTCATACTGCTATGGAAGAGTAAACACAGCTGAATTTCAGCTATAGTTTTGCTCCCTGTTGAGTTGCAAACATTTGACCATAAATATATCTCATCAATGTAATACTGTGCTGGGTAACTTTTATAAAGAATATATCTTTGGATTTGAGACTTTAGTCTTTGCAACTTTACAGATCTTCTTTATGCAGCAAGAGCTTGTAACACTCCAAAGAGAAAGGAAAAATTGAAATCGCATCATATGACCCCTTTAATTCGTGAGATGCCAGAGACCACGTGACTGCGTAATTACGTCAGGACGTAAAAGAACTGCCCGCACTTTGAAACAAACTGTTCGAAAGAGTCGATTCGCGGAAATGAGTCATATAGTAATCTCTTCTCAGCAGACCAGAGAAAGGCAAACCCCTGACTGAACACATGCGTACAGGCGTAGTCTTACACATTAGCCGGAAGTGAGTCAGTCTCATTTGACCTTATGGCTCATAGACAATCCCCTTGTCCAAATACCGACACTTGCGGTCTTGGCCACTTGAGAGCGCGTGCGCGCGACAGGAAATATGTGCGCAAGACTGTCCCAGGTCTTAAAAACGCCAGAAACCTGTGAAAGATAATACCCTGAGATCTGTTTTATTATTGTGCGACGGTTTGTAGATGCCCAAGCTGCCGACAAGTCAGATATGTTTTCGCCTGTCCCGATATGAGAGTTGCCTTCACCAATATGGATACAATACGATAGCAATATGTTGACGTGCGGTTGAGCGGCCAATGAGGGTATTTATTATGTCTATGTTATGGCTCAGTGTTTTGGCCGGTGGATTAAAACGTCATGCGATGCGTAGGAAGAGCTTAATGGCAGTGAGGTGCAAGTTATTTATTACGGTTGTAGAGTACATGTAGACAGGCTTATGTCAGTCAGTTAACATTGATCACTGTGTCTTTAATCCAGGTCTCTTGCGCTCCAGGTCTGAACTTCCTTTACTGATCACTGCAAGAAGCTCTCATCAAACTCAACCTTCATCTCATTCCTGAATTCCTCACTTCAAAATGTCTCAGCAAATCAGGTACAGGAGATTATAAATCATAAATATATATTTTAATTAATTAGATTTGTTTTTGGGTGATGTAAGTTTTTTTTGTTTCTTCTGTTGAATGTCCTTGAACATGTGACTTTTTGTAAATAGTTAAGTGTTCAAAAAAGTATACTCTCTCTCACACTCACACACTTTTAGGAATTTTAAGGTCCTTTTGATATTAAGCTGGCAAAAGTTCTCTTGAATTTATTTATGTGTATGTATGCATTCATGTATGTATTATTATTTTTTATTTTTTATTTTTTATTTTTCTCCGATTCACTTTTTACTTTTTCCCCCTCACCTCTAGCCTCCCTGCCAAACTGATTAATGGTGGCGTTGCTGGCATCGTTGGGGTCACTTGCGTGTTTCCCATCGATTTGGCCAAGACCAGACTCCAGAACCAGAGACAAGGCCAGCAAGTCTACAAGAGCATGTAAGGGCTCTTCACTACTTTCCTTTAAACTTCTCAATGCTTCATTCCTGTAACATTTACATTCTATTTTAATTCACGCACACTATTATTAGATACTCCTGCTTGTTTCATGGCTGTGTGTCATTCCTCACTTTGATTTGATTAGCCATGCATTGGTAGTTAATCCTAGTGGAATGTGTGATGCATGGTCAAGCATTAGTTTCCGCCTGACATGACGGTTCAGCCGCTATGGTCACTGCAAAGCCTTATAAGGATTGAGGCCAGACCGTGTCGCATGCCTGATGTAAACACATACCGAGTAGGCTGACCCATGTTAACACAACTCTGTTTGTCCTTTAGGATTGACTGCCTCATCAAAACAGTGCGATCTGAGGGATACTTTGGCATGTATAGAGGTAAGATTCACTCTTATTTATTCATAAGTGACTTAATGTATAATTATACTCTATTTAGATTAGTATAGCCTCTTATATGGCATGATGGGTACACCTGAATAGACTTGAGGAATCCAGTCCATATGACTTTGGAGAGAATGAACTAGAATAGCTTGGCTGGTGGTAGTTAAATTCAAACTAATATTTTTTTTGCTATTTGTAGCACTGAAATAGCAATATTTAAGCACTTTCCCAACGTATAAAGAATTTTTAGTTCAACTTTTTTTTTTTTTTTTTTTTAACTGTTCAGAGTACACGTTGTGTTGGTAAATGGCCACAATGACAGCCTAGAGTAGTACATAACCCTTTATTTTTAACCCTCTGATGCATGGCGTGCACTTATAGTGGCATTTTAACCATTTGTCCAAACCACCTTGGTGATTTTTATTTGACCTTCAGCCATAATTCTATATGACTGTGCTTATTCTTGACAGCACATGTTGCATAAGTAGCTATAATATTTACCCATTATATTTAACCATTAGCTTATAATGTTAATGGATCAATCTCTCAAAATACTTATTTTAAATTCAAGAAAATAATGTACTCAAATAAGTAGGACATGGTTTTATGGTGTTTTAAAGTATGAAGAAACTTTTCTTTTTTTTTTTTTTCGATTTAATAATTAATGCATCAGAGGGTTACTTTTAAATGAAGCAAATCAAACATGTTGTAATTACTACATTTAGTAGATCGGTTGTTTGACTTCAGTTATTCAGTAGACCAATATAAGTATCCTTGAAGAGTGTTATCTGTAGAGTTTGGAGGAGATTGGAGTCGGTGTTTTGTGCCGGGTCTCCATTTCTGTGAGGAATGCTGTTGTTTGCATCTGTGTTTTTCATGTTACAGACATGGGTCCCCGCTGGGATAGTGAAGGCTAGCCGATAAGGCGCAGCCACGCTGGAGGCAAATCATTTATCATGGTTCTTACTCACACTGCTCTATTACAATTAGGCACCAATTTTTGTTTTATCTATACATAATTGTTGAATTTTGATATTTACTTTTTTGCTTCTTGTTTCTTTGTTGTTGTTTTTTCTCCACTTTCTTCACTGTCCTTGCTCGTCTCATTCAGTCAGTACTAACCCATCTTGCCATGTTCTGTTAACATCTAGAAAGTTTTGTTGGATATTCATCATCATCACTTACGCTCATTATCTGCTTTGTCTTTTTTACATTATAAATAATATTTGGAGCTGTTGTGACCTCACATCAGATGACTAATATTAAAACTACAGTCTGCACGTGCAACACATCAAAACTACACAAAGCGGTCTTTAATATAAGCAGGTGTTTGGAGAATAGGCTGTATTTCTCTCTGTTGTTTGCAGATTAATCACTGCATAAACAGCACAGCAAAATCTACCTGCTGATACATTTCTCTTCTATTATTCTCTTCTATTTGTGATACTGCACAACCCTAATGTCACTCTTTCTGGAATGTGCCTGCATTTTTGTTTCACTACATTTATCTGAATATTCTATCCTATTTTTCTGTCCACTCTATTTGTTTATATAACTAGTTAATTTTTTGGTTTTGTTCACATTATGTAAAATCCCCCTCCATCATCAGCTCACAGTTCTCTCATAAGCTTTGCTTATATACTTAGTCTGTTAGTAGCATTTTTATCTGTTTAAATGGTATTTGATAAGGTCATGTTGTAGATTTATCTCTGGTTTGATGGTGGTGGGGAATGTGTGTTTGCTGATCTGTGATCAGTTGGGATGTAGTTTTCTTTAACCCTCTGTTTGTTTGTCTTTTAGGCGCTGCGGTTAATCTTACCCTGGTCACTCCTGAGAAGGCCATCAAACTGGCTGCCAATGACTTCTTCCGGTGCCACCTTTCCAAAGATGGGTACGTTAGCTACTGCTGCACATATTAGTGCTTGTTCAAATGCAGTTCTTATAAAATATACATTTATAATCATGTCCTTGTTTGTTACAGGAGAGGGCTGACTGTATTTAAAGAGATGTTGGCTGGATGTGCTGCGGGCATGTGCCAGGTTATCATCACTACTCCTATGGAGATGCTGAAAATTCAACTACAGGATGCTGGGAGACTAGGTAGGTTTCCTTTTTGCGCTTAAAGAAGCGATAAAATCTAGCCTATTGAGTATTCTTGATTCTATTGGTCGGTTGTGTCATTTGGCATCAATGTTTGTTGGGGTTGTTTTGCAATATTATGAGTACAGTGTAGTTGTATTGCTCACTCAGTCATTTAGCTGTAGTAACAACTTTCCGATCATCTTCACAGCCACTCAGCAGAGAAAACCATGCATCATTCCTCCCAATAGACTGGCGACCACAAACACAGTGTTGAGCCGCTCCTACAATGTGGTGCCCAACACCTCACCTCACCCATCTGCCACCCAGATCGCAAGAGAGTTACTGCACACTCAAGGCATTCAGGGGCTCTACAAAGGCTTTGGTGCAACACTATTGAGGTAATGCGTTGTAAAATTTTTACTGTAACAACACTGAATGCAAACATTCATAGTAATGAGACTATAAATGACCTGTTTTTATTCTTTTTCTCTTATTCAGAGATGTACCTTTCTCGGTCATCTACTTCCCTCTCTTTGCAAATTTGAACAAGCTGGGTAAGCCCTCCCCTGATGAGGCTGCACCATTTTATTGGTCATTCATCTCTGGATGTGTCGCAGGCTCCACAGCTGCTGTTGCCGTTAACCCATGTGATGGTAAAAGTTGTTTTTGGTCCTCTTTAGCCCTTTTTCACCTATACACCTTTTAAAAAATGCATGTGCTCACCATATTTTATCTTATTTGGCAGTGGTCAAGACCAGGCTGCAGTCTCTAAGCAAAGGAGCTAATGAGGAAACCTACAGTGGCATAATTGACTGTTTCGGGTAATGCATTAGTCCTATAATGTGTTTTAAATGTTACGATTTAACTGATTTGTAATTCTGGGATGTGAGTATATCATCTACAGTGTGTGACCTTTGCTTGTTTTTTCATTCTTACAGCAAGATCATGAAGCGAGAAGGGCCATCTGCTTTCCTGAAGGGAGCATGCTGCAGGGCTCTAGTCATCGCGCCACTGTTCGGTATCGTACAGGTCATGTACTTCATCGGCGTGGGAGAGTTTATCATGAGCCAGTCCTCCCTAAAGCTAATCTCTGACAGAACAGACCCCAGTACTTCTCAGAGTGTGGCAGCTACACAACCAACTGTACATTTACAAGAGAAGATAAACATTAATCAAGATGGTAGAGTTGTCGAGAGAACGACAACTTCTACTCTGGTTAAGTTACTGTGAGTTTTTTTCCAGCCTTACCACACTTCCTCTATGGTTTACAGGCTTATTTGATGGGCTGTGGCCAGAGTTTTGCACTTATTGGTAAGGATATGTCTGGAGGAGAGCGCTTGACGTGCTTACGTTTTCTTGAAGCATATGTGAAGGTTTCCCCTCAATGAGGGAGACTGGTGTCACTGTAATGACACTGTTTTTCTTGACACTTTTTTTTCATCTATCTACAATTCTTTTTGTATTAATTTTTTTTTAGTTTTTTTTTCCCCTACTCCGAATTCATTTATTTCTGTTCCTGTCACTGTTTTCAGTGTCTAAACAATTGGGTTACTTAATGCTTTTGAAGCTTTCAGACCTTGTAACTCTAAATTGTTCATAGTTTTAGGGAATGCCATTGACTTTCATTCCATCAGATGCACATCGCGGTCCATTTCAGTTTCTGAGCTGATTTTGGTGAAGGTACAACAAGTTGCAGTCTAAAATGAAGTATGCAATGGCTACCTAAAACAGCCTAACATTTGATGCATATCGTATTTATGCAATTATTTAAGACGTGCGTTTATTTTTCTTTTCTGTTACATGGACCAGCATGTATTACAACTGTAGCTTCCAGGGATTTCTGATCCCAGAGCGTAGGTCATTATTTTCAGGTCATGTGTTTGCCTTAATTATCATGAAAGACAAACTCTTCACAAAGTTTGAGGGACCTGGCCTTGAGCAAAAGGCTGTATGTTTCAGTGCTGCGATTGTTTGATGACAGTATTAACATCTTCCTACAATGACGCCTCAATGCAACATGTATTAATTTCTGTTTAATGCAATGGTCTAATTCAACATTACAAAAATGAATAAAAATAAATCAAATGTTTGAGCGCTGTTTTAATGTTGCCCAATGACCATAGTTTCTTGTTTCAAAGCCATTTACATGCAACACGATGCTATGAAACAGTTAAAAAAAAAAAACCCTACTTGACGTTAAGAGCAACTCCAAAAATGAGCATATTGTAATTGCAAACATGTTTATGATGCAGCTTCGTCTGTTCTAAAGGCACATAGAACAATAAAACTAGTGGGTCACATTCCTGAACAGACCTGCAAAAGCTAGAAAAAGAGGAAATGGTTGAAGATTTACTTCAGACATGTTTTTACAATTTTACAGTGGTATTGTTGATCTCCCTAAAAACTGGGGTTTGAACTTTACAGATTCAAAATCAGCCAAGTAAGGAAAGTAACATGCATTAACCAGATTGAAAAAAAAAAAAAGATTAAACCAGTGACACTTGAAAAAGTCAACATGAATCAAACAATTTTAGGGTTTTGTCTGGAACATGGAGGTTGAAAGTTGAGTTTCCTCTCAGCAGTAACCGTTTTTCAACTCTTATTTGCTATTATTGCTGTAATCGTTATTATATTACTATCAATCAACATTAAATTACTACTGGCAATATTTTTAAAATGTGGCCTACGATAGTAGCCTAAACGGATGTTTTTTTTTTTGGTTAACATTAACCAATAGCACATAGGAGCGAGGTCAAAAAGTTGTTTTAGAGAAAAAGAGCAAGTTAAGTTTTGATAAAATTATGAAGCTAATTGTTTTGTTTGGAAAACCATGCACTGATGAACCTTTCACTATAAAACTTGAAATGTTATGAAATTAAATTGACTGAGTTCATGTTGACTTTGTTGACTCAATCCACTTCTCAGCTTCATTTTTCAAAGCAAAATTACAACCAAATATTAATAACCAGCAAAACACAAACATATGACCCATTATCTATTAGCACAAAAACCTGGTCTAGTTCACACAATAAATAACATAAAAAAAAAACATGAAAAGTAGTTGATCAGTGAGGCAGTAGAGAGGCTTATTTACATCAGAAAGTAAATGTCCAGTTCACTGAAAGTCTGAACTGAAGACTCTATTAAAGGAGATCAAGTTTGAAAAAAGCAAGACGTACACTGTGAAGTTTCCCCTTGTGATGATGGTTCAGTAATAAATAAAGACAAAATAAATGTAAAGGTTAATGCGGTTACAGTAGCAGTCCATGCAGTGGAGGTCATCATCAAACAATGCAAGTAACAGAAAAGACAGAAACAATCAGAGATAGAACGCTGTTCACAAAACAGTACCACAAGACCAACACTGCCTCATGAGAGCTCCTCCACCCGCTTCCCGAGCCTGAATGTGATGGTCTGATGAGGTCAAAGACGGCGGGCTTTGAAACAGTCCAACTGGGTGAGAGGGGAACCGCGAGGAACCTAAATAACTTCTCTGCTGTTCCGAATGGCACAGCATAGAACCATGCTGAAGATCATGCCAATTATCTGCCAAAACAGAGAGGGAATGTTCAAATGTTAAATATGACAAATATAGGCTACAGTGTTCCCAAAAAGCAATCACTTAAGCCACATGTACATATGAAGGTCACTGCATTATAAAATATCAAATCAAGTCTCATTAATATTAAAGATAACACATGCACATTTTGTATATACTTTTCCACAAATATATATACACACACACACACTTAAGATACTAAGATATAATATCCTTTAACATCTTAATTTTCTGTAAAGCTGCTCTGAAACAATGCACTGTGAAAATCACTATACAAATAAATTTGACCAGACTTTTCAAGCACATTTCACAAAAAGAAGTTTGTACGCATTTTGTTACCATAATTCCAGCAATGCCGATGCCAACATATCCGATTATGAAGAGTTTTTCGTTGAAGAAGTCTTCTATAGCTGTGTTACAATCCTTGAAAATATTTCAAAAGAACATTAGTTGAGTGTGGCAAACTGATGTAGTGTGATAATGTTACAACAACAGCATACATGCACAACATCGGTTCAGTTCTACTGATTAGAAAATGAATAGCTCTGGCTCCGAAATCTGATTGGATGAACCACTATCAAAGATAGCAGAGATGTGCATCTTTTATAACCAACAATTGTAATTGATTATTGAATTGCTTATTTAGGAATTGAACTATGTACAAATCATTGTTATGCACAACCGTGTTTCCTACTAAATTATGCAGATATGGGCACTGACTATTTATTTTATGATTGTTTAAATTAAAATAAAAAAAGAAAATAATGAGCGATTTGACTACACACCAAATAACACCTTGTTTTTAAGTTCATTTTTGCAAGCAGTCAGTGAGATTTTTACATTGTCACAAAAGATTTCTGTTTCAAACAAATGCTGTTCTTTTAAACTTTCCACTCATCAAATAATCCTGAAAAAAATGTATTACGGTTTCCATAAAAATATTAAGCAGCACCACTGTTTTCAACATTTCTTAAGCAGCAAATCGGCATATTAAAATGACTTCTGAAAACTCATGTGACACTGAAGACTGGAGTAATGATGCTGAAAATTCAGTTTGCGTCAAGAATGAATTACATTTGTAAATATTTTAAAATAGAAAGCACATTTTAAATAGTAAAAATATTTCACAATATTGCTATATATTATATTACACACACACACACACACACAGGGCTGCAGCTAATAGTTGCGGTGCACAAAATATATTTTAATAGTTCATTTCAATGCTCTTTAGCCATTGTAAACACTGTGTAAACATGCTACTGCGGTTTGGTTTTCTCTAATGTGCTTTGCTGATTGGGATCAACTGACAGCAGGAACTTGACAACTGAAGCACAATGTGACATCATGTTTCTCAGCCGATCAATGTGTCTTCCCGCCTGCTATAAATAAAAAAAACTGGCGCCTTTGTGCCCCTGTGGGTTTATCGGATCAAGTGACTCATGGGACATCTTACCACCGTCTGCTTCATTTCTCTCTCTAAGCCCCTCTTACCTCCTCACTCCACTGTTCTGTGTCCCGCACCCCTCCCTCTCTCCCTTATACACCGTGCAGAACAACATGGCGCCATCTAAGGGCCTGTGTCAGAACTACTCAACACTTCAGTCTGAAACATGTCCTGCTTGTGAGTCAAAACAGCACTAAAAAGCTTTGTGCCTGGTTGACACACAATGGCTTGTGCTGCAAATATACATGGGCGAAAACGGCTAAAATGTTCTTTCTCTGGACAAAAAAATACATATTTACTTTTTAAATAAAATAAGCTTCATGGCCTATAAAGAAACAATTATGGATGTCACTAACAATTATTTTGGTAATCGAGTAATTGGTTGATTATTCTGGCGATTAATCGAGTAATCAGATAATTTTTTTGGTGGTAATAAAAATAAACCTAAGTGAACAATAGACTTTAAAATGACTTAAAATACATATATAATTGCAATGAGGCAATAATAATTTGTTCAAATAAGATATCAAGATATAAGATATAAGCATATCAAAAGCAAGTAATCATGTGGTTTTAATGAAGAAAAAAAAACAGTTAAAATACATAATATAATAAAACATAATTATAACTTATGGGTATTATGTATTATATCAAATGTCTGCAGAGGGCGCCAACAGCCTCACAAATGTCTTTACACTTTACAGTGCGATCTAATCCTTGTTTGATATTGACCAAACAACATATAATTCAAATGTCCACTTAATCTTTAATATTTGGCCACTTATTTATTATAGAAATGAAACAGCCACTGTCCTTTCTTGAACAAGAACGTGGACATCAGAACATGCAAACTCAGTGCGAGGGTGCGCGATGAACAGTTAGCATATTGAGAAAGATGTTGGCATAGGTTTATAAATGATTTACCTTATAAATCTGATAGAACGATGCACATTGTTCCCAGATGAACATTATAAGAAACTCAGACTCACAGCATTTGCAGAGATTTGTTTGAGACGCTTTACGCATGTAAATAATACCTGTTTGTGTGGAGCAGCATTTACTGTGAGCCGCTCGGAGATGCACGTAACCTACACGTAACCTACACGCGTATAAATAAAGCTCATATTAAACCAGCAGTATGCTTTCTTATGATTTTTAATATTTCATGCAGCTTTAGAAAACGATCTAATAAGGCTTTTCATGGATTCTCGTCCGTGGAATGTGCCACACATTTTACCGGTTAAACGACACGGACAAAATGCAGTCGAGGATTTATTATAATCGAGTACTCGAATTAGGCTTGCCGTGATAAGACGGTGCTGACGGTGATACCGGTGTTAAGCCGCAACACCGGTTACGTCACTTGCCCACCGCGTCACCGACCCCCACCGTTGTTTTGATTTTTTATAGTAATACAAATCATTTAGTTCAGTAAAAGAACAGACACTACAATTAAAAACTGAACGCGGCTGCTCAATGCAGCGTGCCGAACGACAGTCGCATCACACAGATCAGATCAGATTTCTCCAGTGAGGAGAGTGAGTCCAGCTGACTGACAAGAAGAGTGGGGTGAGACAAACAAGACTATCGCGGATGATTTAGTTTCTAAACGAAATGCAAAAGTGCCTGTTTGGCAATATTTTGGATTTTGAAAAGCCTGTTGACTTTTGCCATTTATCTAAGGTGATTTTGGAAGTTTTTTTAAACATTCGTTTCTTATTTAATTGGTTCCACATTATTTGCTGATTTTTACTTTATTTAAACTGTCATTTATTTATTTTATTTGACATCAAGGTGTATGCCGTGCCTCCAAGCTTTCTTACTCGTTTTGCTAATAAACGTTCTACGTTTCTTATTTATTTGGTTATATATTATACATGTTTACTTATTTCCAGTTTGTATACCTATTAAACTTTATGTAAGTTATTTGTTATTTTATATTAGGCATAGCCTGCCCTATAGCATGGCGTATTTTTATTTGTTTTGTTAATAAAAGCTCTATGTTTTATATATAGGCTAAAGTGAGTTTGACGTTGTATTTTGTTGTTGCATTCAAGCAATTGACGCCACCCTGCCGTTAATGCAAAAGTGAAAGTAAAATGAGCACGGCGCTTTCAAGCTATTTAAAAGCGACAGAAAGCGAGGAAAAGAGGGAAAATTCAAACGAACTAAAAACAAACAATTCCTTTACTCCGAATTGCCGCTATTTGAAAGTGAAAGTAAAATGCGCACAC